CGAATTATTCGAGGTCCGCTCGGGTAAATCTCCCGTCGCTCGCACTTTGGAGCGACTCGCTCGGGCCGTGATGTGCCTCCTTGGCCGTTGTGGCAGGGAGCTGCGAGCGACGGGAGATTTACGAGCTGATGGCGCCGAATTATCGGTGGTCGGCCGGTGTAAATCTCCCGTCGCTCCTGCAATTGGTGCACAATCGCTCCAATCGCAAAGTCTGACATCGGCCAATGTGAAGGCAGCAGAAAAGGAAGCGCTGTGGAACCTAACACATAATATTTACAAGATAAGCAAAATAAGGTCACAATTGCGCTGAGTTGGAAAAAAATCAGACAAAAGCTAGTTTGAATCGCTACTGTTTTACTGCTGCCTTCTCACAAGCTCAAGTATTCGATGAGGGTACGGTAGCTCGTCAACGAATGTTATGACCAAAAATATCTCGAACTTCAGTATATATGTGAAGATATGTACGATATGTGAAGGAGTTGTTTGGTCCGGTGGTTAAAAATTGCTTTGATCCTTTAAGCTTTGAAAAAGGAAATCCAGCCGAAACTCCAATCAACACTTATCATTTATCAACTTTATGGTGAGTTCATTAATGACAAATTCCAAGGAAAAGGTGTCGATAAGCGGAATGACACTCTGAGAATTCATTCACAAACCTAAAACGCTTCTCATGTGTACCCATAAATGTCTCTACATACATACTCAGAAGAATAGTTAACACCTTCAATTGTATCACGTTAAACGATAAACACCTTCCAAGAAAACGTCCCATCAAAACACGTGTAAATAGTCACGAACGACCGGCACTGCAGGAAATTGGCCAAGTAGGCCTAGACCGAGTGACTTTGGCAAAAGGTGCCCCATAAAATCCAGGACTTTTTTCTCTGGATGTTATCTTGGTAGCGATATTCATCTTCTGGAAAGCTGCATCATGAAAGAAGTGATATCTCGGGTAAGTGTCGCGCGATTGTAGCGAATGGTCGCAAGTCGCCAGTAAGCACACTGGCACTCAATATCACGAGGAGCGTCCAACACCACAACGATTTGGAAGTGGTAGAGATTAAACTGCGTGGTAATCGATCATAACCGTGACGGAGTACAAACAGAGGAGAAGGAAAAGTGAGGGGGCCGAACAGCAATCAAACTGAAAACAGCAGCATTTACAGATGATGAAAGCTTACAAAGAAAGAAGCATCCGCTCAATAATTGAATGCAAAAGAACTGCTGCAAAGAAAACGCACACTGAAGCACCCAAGAAATGAGGTTTGCTTAATCAGGAAATGCGGCAAAATGAATCTATTCCAAACGCCAGATGCAAAAAAATCATCACAGTGTCCTACTCGCGCCGCTATCGTAGTAAAAGTACAAGAGACTTCGTTCCGAAGGAGCAGCTTGTAGTTTTTCATGTAGGCGTTTGGGTGCTATACAAGTAGGGTGGGCATTTTTTGAACAGAAATGTATGTAAGTGGGACTGCTGCCCGCTTCTACAGGGTGGTCCAAAATTATGAGGACCAAGACATTGTGTCGTTAAAAACGCATAGTAGCTTGATGGAACAAACCAACCTTCAGGGAAGTATTTGTAACTCTTACCTCAAAGTAATTCCAGAATAGAATTGAGATCTGCCACCTGCCACGTTTACACGAGCCTTCAGATGAAGAATGCCTCCTGCCCGCACTGAGTTGTCAAATCCATAACCTTCTGACTCGACTCTAGAAAATCAAATTGTTGGCATATCTTTGCGCTGCCCGAGGTTAAATGCAGAAATCTAGAGCTAACCAAGGTGAAAGTTCCATGGCAAAATCTCGAAAGTAACGAACTTGAAAGTTCGCGTAGGTGAAGTTTGCTTTATTCTGTCTCGGTCCTTAGAGAATCCCACAGTAAAGGCTACTCTTGTGGCTTGCTATCCACTAAATAGATTTGGGATCTTAATTCGGATTGTATTCAAACTCAATTTTCTCATTTGGGGGTCGAAGTCAAGCCAAAGGAGCCTAGTTATCACGAATCACCTGGGTGAAATGTAGACTTTCAATCCCACATTTTCCTCTGGATGTTCCAAACTATTGATAGTTGAACTGCGCTTCTCCCAGGGCTTTCTGATAGATTAACGCTGCAATTAACGTGCCAGAGCCCCTCGGTGAGTTCAATTTGAGGACTGACTCAAAGTGAAGTAGTTATTTCACTAGTTTTGAGAACTTCATGAAATTTGGTTTCATTAGGAAGAAGACATTGTACCCTCTCACATAGTGCACAGAAAACGAGATGAAAATGGAGCGATACGGAAAAAAGTGGATATGACTGCGCGCGCACGCGGTCCTCATAATTTTGGACCACCCTGTATACTGTCACGAGAATCGGGGAATTCGTGAGCCAGGGGGAGTGTAGCCAATCTAGGGGGTGGGGGGTGAGGGCAGTCACTTGACATGCGTGAAAAGCTGGGCGTGCCCACCCCACTTGTATAGAGCCGAGGTTTGTGACTCAGAAGCAACCGACGCATCAGTAGGGGTTCCCAACTTGGCATGATTAGTCACGGAGCACAAAACTGAATACTTCAATGATTTTGGATCAACATTAAGATGGTCCCTTTCGCAGAGCTGTCCCACGTCTACTTTCTTTGGTAGCATTCATTGACACCTACACCTGGAGAGGTCCAGAAATTCGCCAAGTAGGGCATATGTATGCATTCCTGTCTACTTTGAATAGAAAACTACCGAATTAATGTTCAGGGAAATCACCCAGGTGTTAACCATCGCTGCGTTGATTGCAAATTCAAACAATTCCTGCGTCATACATTCGGCAACGGAAAATGGATCCGGATTTATAGCACAAGAGACCTACCAAACATGTAGAGAATATTGATTAGCAGCTATCAAATGCATTGAACATGACGTGAAGAAAAAGGTAAACCTTATTCCAAAGGCAGGCAAGCGGTCGCTGCATTTAACTTCTATATGAAGAAATAGAACCTCCATTAACGCATGCGTTATAGGGATACTCTCGACAACAACCTTTTGAAGCCCTCTCTAAATACACGGAGTTATAAATACTTAAAGATGTTCAACGAGATTTTTTTCAACCCTTTTACAATATGTAACTCATCCCAACCCCACCATTTCAGCTCGCCAGCTCGCTTGATGGAAGATGGTAGATGGCTTGGAAGCTTCACCCGGTGAAACTCCACCTCGAGGGGAGAGGGAGGAGCACCCCATTGCTATCTTATCCGTATAATGCTAGAGAACACTACTTTGGGCTGTCCAACACTACGGATAAGATAAGAAT